AATTCCCTAGTTGTTAAATGGGGATAGGAATCGCTACCGCTTCACTGTGGGCTTGGGAGGGTGAGTGAGCTAGCATGTAAGGCAGACAATGCTATGCAGTCAGTGCTTAATAAATGTGACTCTACCATGGTCATTACTGTAATCGCCGTGTTTCTGTTACCAGTTTAAAAATCTCCTTCAACACCGTTGCCCTCTGTCCTCTGTGTATCACTGATAGATTCCACCGAGAGCCGCTTCCCTCGGTTGGCGTTATGAACAGAGGAGGTTTACCAAATGTCCTTTTTCTAGTTCTCCCTGGAGATTCTGGCACCACGCGGTCCTCCCCTCCCTCCTCCCTGCCCACCCCCACACTAATTGAGAAATGCAGGATGGTCATTGCAGGCTTTTGCGCAAGGGAGAAGCGTGACTCTATGAGGCTTCTTTACCTTGGGACCTGATTTATCATAAAGACTTAAGTTGTTTATGAGCGTGTGCGTCTTCATTTGTCAGCAGCCCTAATTCCTCCCATTTCCGTAGAAACTGCTCTCAGGCTTCCAGATTCGTTTTACTACCCTGGCCCCAGGGACGTTATATTTCACTTGCCGCTGAAATCTGTATTTGTCATTTTCCAGGCTGACACTCGGTGGGTGAGTCAGATGTTTGGGTATGAACAGCAAAGCCTTTGGTGCAGCTGCCAAAAGGGTGTGTTTGTCTTCACTTCCGGGAACCCTGGCTCAGCTGCCACCTAGTGGTGAGTTCTATGACGGTGAAACATGGCTCCGGAGAAGCCATTCATAAGCATTTCTGGTAATGAGACCCTCTGGCTCTGGGAGTCTTGCCAATGGCAGCGTGATAAATACTTAGTAATCTTTGTAAATGACTCTTCAAGCTCCAGGGATGTTGGAGGCTGTTTTTGGAAGAAAAAAAATTCCATTTTATAGTTACCAAATGAGAATTGTAGGATTTTCTAAATGTTGTGATGATTTTCTTCGTCAAAATGTACCCCAGCAGAGAAAAAATGAGGCTGGCACCAAGGGGGTGAGAGTATTGTTAATATTAGCTCAGCCTTGAGAACGTGCCAAACTCTAGTTTAAATAATTATGCTATCTCACTTACTCTCCATTTCAGTCCTGACGTATCTGTAATAATATCAAATTAACTATCTTTCTAGATTGTTATCATGGCCAGGGTTGTTATTTTGCAAGTGGAATAATTAAAGTTTAGACTAGCAAATGTCATTTAGCTGCCAAGTGACAGGACAGGAATTCTAACATCTGCCATGGTCTTGACCACTCCTTCCTGAAGGATACTCTTTACTTGCATGTTCCTTTGTGGTTCCAGAATTCGTCCATCTTTCAAACATCCTCAGTGAAGGCTGAGGACTGACCCCATTGGTCAGCCAGGCTCTATGCAGACTGCCTTCCCTTGTGAGTACTTAAATACCCCAGGAGAAAACAAAGAAAAGACAAGCAAGAAATTGTGTGTCCATCAATGCTGCACTGGGATGAGCTTTCGGAGGTAAGAGTCATACAAGAGCAAGCAGGGTTGATCCCCTGGAGAGGGGACCAATTATTCCTATGAGATGAATGGAAATTAGGCAGGTCGGATAAGCAGCAGACACAAGGCACCACAGATCCAGAGGGGTCCTGAGTCCTGGGGCAATATGCAAGAAGAGACCAGCATGATGGTTTGTTTGGGCACTGATTTTGCCTCTGTGCCTAGGTGGACCCTGTTCTGATGAACACTGCTTCGCAAGGGAGACTCCTAGAGAAGAGGTGAGAAGAGAGATGCTTTTCTTCCCCTGGAGACCTACAATATGTAAAGAATGCTGTCCTGGGCTCTGGAGGGAAGTCTGGTTGGTCATAAGCTATAGGTCTAGGCTCGGCCATCCCTCAGAACCTCACAGTATCACATGCATAACTTGGTAAATCTGAAAACTGAAACGATAGAGGATGAATTTTGTGTCTATTAAAGACAGTAGCAGAAACAAAGGCATAGATTAAGGGCAGAGTCTGCTGTGGCTTCCTTTTGAGCATTGGTGGTGTCTTCTCAACACAGGGCCGAGGAATCAAGGGCTCTTCTCTGAAGTATGGGCCTTTGGAATGCCACTTCTATATTCTTATCTCCCTGGTACCTCCCAAAGGCACAGCATCACTAGTTGAAAAAGCCATTTTGCCAAATTATGAGAGCCATAAAGACAGGCATGCATGCAGCACATGCCTCACAATTGATGGGTGTCTGCTTGATCGTTTTCACCTCTGCTACTCAGCCTCAGCCTAACTGTACCACCCCCGGGACACAGGGACACTTTCGACTTTCTCATTAGCCTTCCTAGTGTTTTCCTTCTGGCTCAGGTTGATCTAGAATTTTCTGGTAAATCTTCAGCAGTTCATTTTATGTCTTTTTATCAAATCCCCATCTCTCCTCAAAGAGAAATTCTTCCTCGGTGGTTACTGCATTCCTTCATTGAGCATTTCTCACAGGTTACTACAGTGGGGATCATTCAGTCTTGGTGGCGGTGGCCACACAAAGGGCAAGTTACTGCATACATTGTGTGGATCTGGAGGGATGTGGCACAACTTCCCTGTCTTCTCCTGATATGTCTCACTCTCTTAAGCTTCTTCCGTAGGGTGGTGACTAGGACCCTGAAGACATGGACTTAATTCTGCACTGGGCATTTGAATGATACTGGATAATTTCCTTGGCCCCCTTGTTCCTCATCTTTGCCTATAAAATGCCATCATCACATAATGGCCTCACTGGATTGTCTTTGGGATGAGCAAGACAGGAACCATATGACACCGAGAACGAGACCTGGCCGTCGACACACTATCAAGTGTTTGCTTTCTCTAGACAGCAACTCTCCCTCTTCTTAACTAATTTTTAAGGTCTCTCCAACCATGGCCAAGTCGCCATTTATATCCCCTGTGTTGTGTTTGGATGACATTTGCCTAGAGAAACGGTTTGTAAAGAAGTTCACGGTACTAGTTTGGGAAGTGGCATCCCTACACAGTAACTTTTGAAAGGGTTGAGAATACGCATGCCGGAAAGAACTGGAGTATACCTGCCCCCGCCCACCCCTGCCCACACATCATGCTGAGTCTCTCAGGGGCCTTATTCCAGTCACCCAGATGAGGACGGCTCTAGCTCTGATGCCGTTCCCTCCCATATGAGTCAGGAATCTTCTCCACTAATCTCCAGGTGTAACTGATTATATGAGGTAGCTCCCTTTAGCAATATATAATTCGTGCTCATGGAAAGCAATGTTCTGTTGTGTGCTAGTCTGGGCTTTCTGGTCTTGGAGTCTGCTTGCGGGTTTCAAAGGGGGTTTGGGTACCTGTGTGCCTTAGTGTCTTTCGGTACATGCCACAGACCTGAACAAACACCTCACACAGCAATTACAGGCTCATCATTCTCTTCTCGTTAGAAACAGCTTTGCAAAGCAATACAATTCTGTCGCTTCAGTCGATTGCTTGTGACAGAAGAGTCAATAATGTATCCTGCTGGAGAAAGAGCTTGTTTGCCTTAAAAACGAAAGTTATCTCTTTCAAATAAAATGTGACTCTATTGGTTTTATTCTTCATGGATATTACACTTCCATCTTCATTTTTCTGATACAGTTCTGACTGATACAGTTTTATCATGAGGAAGATGAGAACCCAATATGAAATATTTCAGTTCAGCTCTACTTTTATATATGAAAAAACTGTAAGAGATAGTGACTTTGGCTGATGTTGGCACCCATGGCTCTACCTACTTAGTGAAAGACCACACAGACTCACCTGGAAGACGTTTCATACCCACATGGAAGTTGGAGAATAGTCATTGGATTCTCTCTCCATCTTTGTTCACTCCATGCTTCTTTGGATATGAATTCTGAGCATGAGTGTATTTTCTAAAACCAAATCTCTCTAGTAGATGACAAACTTCAACTTCAAATCCATTACCTTTCCATAGCCAAATAGAAAATGGTTTCTCTCATACAGGGCCTTTTAAATTTAAAATGTTATAGACCACTTGGTCCAGGATGAACATTTGGTGTGGGAACCTGGTCTCACTTTAAAAAAAAAAAAAAACAACTCTAAAAGCAGAGTCAGGTGGATCAGATTGCCTGGTCTACATGGTGAGCTCCAGGCAAGCTAGAGCTACATAGAGAGACTTTGCCTAGAAAAAAATTAATTAAAACAAAATAGATTTGATTCTCCCTCCCCTACTCCAAATCCAGTCCCCCAGTCTCATCCCCAACTCTGTAGCAGACTACCTACACAAAAACACAGTCAATCAGAGCCAGGACAATATGTCTGCACTAAAGCCCCACAACAGCCTACCACAGCCATGTGAAATGTGACATAGATGAACCACAAGACAAGGACTTCAAAACAGCCTTTACGAATGTATTAGAGGTCCTTAAGGAGGGACTGAATAAATTAATCAAAGAAATCTATGAAGACACAAACACTGGATGAAATGAAGAAAATAGTTTAGCCCTTGTACATGGAAAGAGACTCAGTAAAGAAAACCCAAACTGAGGGAAAACTAGAAATGAAAAAATTTGGAACTCGAACAGGAAACTCAGAGGCAAACCTTATTGACAGAATACAAGAGATAGAAAAGAAAATCTTGGGGATTAAAGACAAGACAAGGTAGAAGAAATGACACCTTAGTCAAAGAAAATGTTAAATCTTAAAAAAAAAAATCAAGGCACAAAACATCCAGGAAATATGGTGCATGATGAAAAGATGAAATCAAGCAACCCAAGTCAAAGGCACAGAAAATATTTTCAACAAAATCATAGAAGACTATTTCTCAAACCTAAAGAAGGAGATGCTTATCAAGGTACAAGAAGCATGTGGAACACCAAATACACTGGAGCAGAAAAGAAATTCCCCACAGCACATAATACCAAAATACTAAATGTACAGAACAAAGAAAGAATATTAAAATCTGCAAGGGAAAAAGACCAATGTCTTAGTCAGGGTTTCTATTGCTATGATAAAACACCATAACCAAAAAGCAAGTTTGGGAGGAAAAGCTTTATTTGTCTTATACTTCCTCACTGCTGTTCGTCACTGAAGGAAGTCAGGACAGGAACTCAAGCAGGGCAGGAACCTGGAGGCAGCAGCTGATGCAGAGGCCATGGAGAGGTGCTGCTTACTGGCTTGCTTCCCCTGGTTTGCTGAGACTGCTTTCTTTTAGACCCCAGGACCATCAGCCCAGGGATGGCACCACTCATAATGGGCTGGGCCCTCCCCCATCAATCACTAATTGACAAATGCTTTACACCTGGATCTCAGTATTTCCTCAACTCCTTCCTCTCTTATGACTCTAGCCTCTGTCAAGTTGACATACAAAAGCAGCCAGCACAACCAAGTAACATATAAAGACAGACCTATTAGACTAACACTTGACTTTTCAATGCAGACTCTAAAAGCCAGAAGGGCCTGCATGGATGTACTACAAACTCAGAGAGAACACAGATGCCAGCTCAGACTACTATACCCAGAAAAACTCAATCACAAGAGGTGGAGAAAGAAAAACATTCCACAATAAAACCAAATTTAATTAGTATGTATGTATCTACAAATCCAGCCTTACAGAAGGCTCTAAAAAAAAACCAAAAAAAAAAAACAAAAACAAACAAACAAAAAAAAACAAAACTTGAACCAGAAGAGGCTAACCACACCCAAGAAAACTGAAGGAATAAATAATATCTTAGCAGTAAATCAAACAAAGGGAGAAAAACTGCATCACAGCAATAACAACAAAAATAGGAATAAACAAATGCTCCTCATTAATAACTCTCAAACACAATTGTCTCAATTAACCAATAAGATGTGGAATAATACAATGATTTCAAAACCAGGATCCACCCTACTGTTACATCTAAGACACACAGTTTAACATCAATAATAGACATCACCTCAAGGTAAAAGAATGGAAAATTATATCCCAAGCAAGCTAGTATAGCCATTTTAATATTTGACAAAATAGACTTCAAACCAAAAATGAATCAGAAGAGATAGGGAAGAATATTACATACTCATCAAGAGAAAAATCCACCAAGAGGACATTACAGTTCTTAACATCTATGCACCAAACTCAAGGGCATCCACATTCATAAAGGAAACATTGTTACAGCTTAAATTACTTACCACCCCTCACACACTGATAATGGGAGAATTCAATAGCCCACTCTCACCAATAGACAGGTCATCCAGACAAAATCTAAAGTGCTGGGAAAGAAGAAGGGGGGAGGAGGAAGGGGAGGAGGAAGAGGAGGAGGAAGAAAGAAGCAGTAGTAGCAATGCTGGAGCTAACTGACATCATAAACCAAAGGGACATAACAAATATTTACAGACCATTTCTCCTGAACACAAAGGAATGCACCTTCTTCTCAGCACCTCATGGAACTTTCTCCAAAATTGACCACATACTCAGACACAAAGCAAGTCTCATCAGATCCAAGAAAATTGAAATAACATCCTATCTGACCACCAAAGATTAAAGCTAGATATAAACAACAACAGAAAGATTACAAACTCATGAAACCAAACAAGTTAAGAGTAGGTCAAGATAGAAATTAGGAAAGAAATTAAAACCTTTTTTAAATTGAATGAAAATGAAAACACATCATATCCAAACTTAAGGGACACCATGAAGGCTGTTCTAAGAGGCAAGTTTGTGGTGATATTGGAGGGAGCTAGGTCTGCTACTGTGGATCTGGTCAAAGGCAAAAATGGCTGGGGAATCCATAGGCACTAGAGGTGACCTACTACTTTTGTAGGACATGTTGTCAAACTTTCTCTTAAATACTTATGCTTATGATAGACCAGTGCTGTCCTTAGCCTAGATCAAGCTTCCCTTTTCAGCAAATGGTACTTAGTGGCTGTTTAAGGCACTAAGAACAATTGACAGTTGGGTCTCAGCATTAAACCAAACATCAATATCACCTCCTCCAAAGGAACATCACAGAAGAAAGAGGGTGGAGAGAATGTTAGAAGTGAAGGAGCGTGGTGAACAGGAAGCAAGGCCTTGAAATGCTGTCTTGTTGGCATGGCACCCATGAAGGCACAGCCTTGGCAGTTGCCTGCAGAGGGCCTACACAAGGCTGAACTGTAAACATTTAGTCATAGACATGATGGGCTCTTGGGGCTTCACCCTCCCTGGAGAGCTAATGGCAGGACTTCAGGTGAGAAGTAGCCACTCAAGAGTTATTCATGCTCCAGGGGATAGGTTCACACCCGTGCCCACAAAAGCAGCTCTAGTCAAACCAGTGAATCACAAGGATAAAACATAAACAAAACGAAAAGACATGAAATCAGGATGGGGACACAGAAGTAGGGCAGAGAGTTGGCAGGGATTGTAAGGGAATGAGTGTGACCAGAATATATTACATACATACATGAAATTGTCAAGTAATAGCTAAAAACATTATTAAAAATAACAAAGCACGCAATTATCTTATAAACCCAGCAGTCTCATTCTTGAGCATCTGTACCAGAGAAATGAAAAATTATGCGCACATTAAAAAACGTGCACACAAGTACTCCAAGCAGCATTATTTGTAATAACCAAACTTCCCCAAATGGAAATAACGTTATGTGTCCCTCACAGGGCAAATGCTTAAACAAACAATGATACATGCCTAGCTACAGAAAGAAATGACTTATTGATGCATGCAACAACTTGAATGGTTTGCAAATAAACCATGCTGAATGAAATCAAAGGCTGTTTAAAAGACATTACATACTATGATTCCATTCATGCTTCATTTCTGAAATGACAGGTTGATAGAGATGGAAAAGGAGTTACTGGTTGCGAGAAACAGAGCAGATGGGGCAGGGATTTGAAGTGAGGGATTCTTGTGGTGGTGAAGCCAGTGTGTCTCCTTAACACGGTAATGGTAACAGCTACATAAAGCTCCATGTATATATGATATATATGATATATATATATATATTTGATACATATGTGCACATGCATATGAAGCTAGTGAGCTCTCTCACTGGTGCCCATTCCCACTCTGTCATTATGGAAGAGCTGCCGCTGGAAGAAATAAGCATCTCTGTGCTACTTTGCAACTCTTGATGAATCTAGCTATTTTCAAATTAAAAAAACAAAAACATAAAAAGAAAGATACTGTCTTAGAATCACTTACCCAATGCAGAAGTATCCCCACCCCCACACTAAGAAATGTGGTAATTACCTCTTTTAAATTGCAGGTCTCCAAAATATCAATCTGGTCTGGTGTGCACAGCCCTCTTATCTTTTTTTTTTCTTATTTTATCTTTCATATCAACAAACACAAAAATAGCACAGACTTCACCTTGTTTGTGTTATAAGAGCAATATCACATGCATTACCCTGAACCTTGCTCCAGGTCCTTAACAAGATGGCCACACCCCTGTGCTGGTTGATTTCTGGATGGAGTTCTCACTGCTCATGTCTAACATCGTTCCCACACTGGCTAGGCCACACAGTCTGTTCAAGTCTTCCCTTGTTGATGGACCTATTGATCGTTTGGCCTTTTCCCACTGCCAATCACAATCCTGTCTTATTCGCAGTGGCCCAAGTCTTCCAGCATTGACTTTCAAACTTCATTTTTGTCATGGAATTTTCAAGTCCAGTCCACCCGTAGAGATGCAGGAGTGAAAGCAGAGCTTGCCAGGATGGATGGAAGGGGGGCACTTCTTCGGCGGTCCTGGAGGTCTCCTCCGTGAACTATGAGGTCTTAGGAAACAAAAGAGAAGTCATTGCCATTTATTTGCCGTGTACTGCCTGGCTGACATCCCAGCCCTTCTCTTGGCCCAGCTCTGAGCTTTTCCATGTCTCCCAATCCTCTCTGAGATCCTGGGTCCTGTTTCAGTGGATTCTGTGAAGTCACCGTCATGGAATCCAGCCAACATTTTTGCTTTATAATTTATTTTAAAAACTGAGGCAGAGACCTGTCCCAGGCTGGCTCAAATTCACAATCCTCCTGACTCGGCCTCCTTGAGTGCTGAGATTATCAGCGTGTGTCACTAGTAATGTGCCACACTTGGAGAAATTAGTCTTCTGACTACATGTCCTGATCTTACTGGCCTGCTTGAGTGCCCAAATCAATGTCGTTCCAAACCAGTGTTGACAACGTCAAGTCTTCTTCTTAGAAGGTGAGCCTCACAGCCAAGAGGCTGCTCAGCCACCTTTGCCAGACATACCACCTCTGTACCCCAATTCCACCCTGACACCACAGGCCGTCTGTGATTCTCTGCAAAGCCCTCCTTCTGTCCCAAGGCCTCACCTAGCTTTTCAACCCTGCTCCTTCAATACTCCCTGATCTGCTTGGGATTTCCCATTGATCTCGCAGTCTCTCCCTCTGCCTTGGCTCTCACACAGATAGGATCTGAAGAAAAGCTACCTCAGCTGTCTGCCCCATGCAAAGAACACCCAGGGCATCTCTGTGGTCTAATTCAGCCACATCCCTGGCTGTCCTGCAGGTCCTCAGCTGTCACTCGCTGTCCCCATGCTAGACCTCATGTTTAACCTGTTTCTCTGTCTCCAATGTTCTTCCCGGTTTTGTTTATTGTTTTTGTTTTTTGTTTTTTGTCTTGCATACAAGCTCCAGTGTTCTTCCACCAGCCAGTGCTGGCTGTCCGCTGTCTGCTCGCTCTCCACTTACCCCTGGTCTCTTCCACTCTACCAATAGCCTGGTGCGGGTTCTTAGGATTTTGTGTGGCGTCATGGCAACAGTCCTCTGGGGACCTCTTCTCTGGCCCTTCTATTACTTCTTGCTGAGTTCCCTGCAAATACCGGGGCCACCATCATTTCCCAGCAACACCCCCTTCTGGGCACCCTTTGTTTGTTCAAAAGCTTTCCAAGGACATCACTGTCTAAAAGATGAAGCCCACACTCTCTCTTTATACCTGTCCACCCTTGCCTACCGTTCAGACTCCAAATACAGAATAAATACAGCAGCCAAACAGGCTGCTCGGTGCTCATGCCTTAACCACACTGAGCCAGTTCCCACCTCTGGGTGAGTTATCGCTTCTGCCTGAGATTCTTCCTGTCTACGTTTCTGTTTCCTCCTGTCCTGTATATCCTCCGATGTCCTCAATTCAGCTGAGAGTAACCTCTCTGAAGTTACAGATCCACTGATTTGCTCCCTTGTCGGAAAGGCTGTCCAAATTTTCTTTCTGCCTTCGTGTGTGTGTGTGTGTGTGTGTGTGTGTGTGTGTGTGTGTGTGTGTGTTGCAATATTATAAATACAGTAAGTTCCTTTAGTATGGAGATGGGGTTATAGCCACACATATGCGTATTCTACCTTACTTGGTGTTGTCCTTCATGCAGCCAGACCCGAGGGTACACTCTTACTCTCTCTCTCTCTCTCTCTCTCTCTCTCTCTCTCTCTCTCTCTCTC